CGGAGGTGGGTGGTGTACCAGGGGGAGGAGCGGGAGTAGGAGACAGTGCGGGAAGTGATGGGGGCAAGAGTATCGAGTGTGGAGGAGAGGATATTGTGGAGGAGGGAGAGAGGAGAAGAGGGGTCGGTGAGGGTTGAAGGCCAGAGGGAGAGGAGTTCAGAGGACTCCAAGGCATCGGTTAGGGATTGTGGGGGTAACTTCTTCCAAGGGCGGTAGAAGATGGTGGTGGGTCTGGTGGAGGTGGGGAGGGGGGTGGAGGTGGTGAAGGAGATGAAGTAGTGGTCGGAGATGGCCTTGTCGGTAATAGTGACATCCGAGACACTGAGGCCCCGGGTGATCACCAAATCGAGTGGGTGGCCGTGACTGTGAGTGGGGGAGTTTATGTGTAGGGAAAGGTTGAGTGAGGAGAGCAGGGAAGAGAAGTCTGTGGAGATGGAGCAGGAGGGGGTGAAGTGTAGGTTAAAGTCGCCCAGGATGATGAGGCGATCAGAGGAGAGGCAAAGAGATGTGAGGAGTGTTGAAATGTCAGAGATGAAGGTGGGAGAGGTTTTAGGGGGCCGGTAGAGGAGGAGGATTTTAAGGGAGAGGAATGAGGGGTGGGAGAGGGTGAGGTGCTCGAAGGAGGGGAAAGAGCCAGAGGAGTAGGGGGATAGGGCAAGTGGTGTCCTTGAGATAAGGGCAACACCACCGCCACGGCGGTTGGGGCGGGGGATGTGGTGGGAGGTGTAGCCGGGTGGCGTGGCCTCCGTGAGGGGGAAGGTGTCGCCTGGGGTGAGCCACGTTTCTGTCAAGGCCATGATATCAACGTTCTCATCAAGGATGAGATCGTTGATGACCAGGGCCTTGTTGCAGAGGGAGCGGACATTTTGCAGTCCGATGTGGAGGGAGCGGTTGACAGAAGGGTGTGTGGGAGGGGAGGGGGTCCAGGTTGTGAGGCAGGGGTGGGGGGAATGGGGATGAGGGAGGAGAGGTTGACTCCCCGGGTCTGTGTCCGGGGTGGCTGGCGAGAGTGGTGGGGAATGGGGCAGTCGGTGTGGCTGCTGCTGGACAGCCAACGCCGAGTGCCGCGGTGAGCCCGGCGGAGGATTCCCAGACTGGAACAGAGGGAGGTTGTGGGAGGGTCAAGTGGGGATAGAAGACGAGAGGGACGGAGAGAGAGGAGGAGAGAGCGGGAGAGATGGAGAGGGGGGAGGGTTTGGGGGGAGAGAGGAGGGGGGCGGGAGGGAGGGGGTGAGGGGGCTCGGGTCAAAGCGGCAGCCATAGTGCGCACGCGGGGACCGGGAGCGAGCGGTCAGGTGGATGGCATTATCCCGCAGATTGGGGCATCGAACCCAACAGGACCATAGTGGGGGGGGGGGGGGGGGGGCGGGTTTTTTTTTTTTTTTTTTTTTTTTTTTTTTTTTTTTGTTTTTTGTGCGCGCGCACTCACCTGAAAACTAATCTATGACGTCGCAGTTCCCCCGCTCCGCCCCCACACCTCCCTCCACTGCCTAGCTGCACTCGCTCCGGCGTCGAGTTTAAGTACCTGGGTCAGTAGGCCCAGGCTCCTCCCCGCGCTGTCCTGCTGCCGCTCCCCGACTGGCTGCACTCGCTCCGGCGTCGAGTTTAAGTACCTGGGTCAGTAGGCCCAGGCTCCTCCCCGCGCTGTCCTGCTGCCGCTCCCCGACTGGCTGCACTCGCTCCGGCGTCGAGTTTAAGTACCTGGGTCAGTAGGCCCAGGCTCCTCCCCGCGCTGTCCTGCTGCCGCTCCCCGACTGGCTGCACTCGCTCCGGCGTCGAGTTTAAGTACCTGGGTCAGTAGGCCCAGGCTCCTCCCCGCGCTGTCCTGCTGCCGCTCCCCGACTGGCTGCACTCGCTCCGGCGTCGAGTTTAAGTACCTGGGTCAGTAGGCCCAGGCTCCTCCCCGCGCTGTCCTGCTGCCGCTCCCCGACTGGCTGCACTCGCTCCGGCGTCGAGTTTAAGTACCTGGGTCAGTAGGCCCAGGCTCCTCCCCGCGCTGTCCTGCTGCCGCTCCCCGACTGGCTGCACTCGCTCCGGCGTCGAGTTTAAGTACCTGGGTCAGTAGGCCCAGGCTCCTCCCCGCGCTGTCCTGCTGCCGCTCCCCGACTGGCTGCACTCGCTCCGGCGTCGAGTTTAAGTACCTGGGTCAGTAGGCCCAGGCTCCTCCCCGCGCTGTCCTGCTGCCGCTCCCCGACTGGCTGCACTCGCTCCGGCGTCGAGTTTAAGTACCTGGGTCAGTAGGCCCAGGCTCCTCCCCGCGCTGTCCTGCTGCCGCTCCCCGACTGGCTGCACTCGCTCCGGCGTCGAGTTTAAGTACCTGGGTCAGTAGGCCCAGGCTCCTCCCCGCGCTGTCCTGCTGCCGCTCCCCGACTGGCTGCACTCGCTCCGGCGTCGAGTTTAAGTACCTGGGTCAGTAGGCCCAGGCTCCTCCCCGCGCTGTCCTGCTGCCGCTCCCCGACTGGCTGCACTCGCTCCGGCGTCGAGTTTAAGTACCTGGGTCAGTAGGCCCAGGCTCCTCCCCGCGCTGTCCTGCTGCCGCTCCCCGACTGGCTGCACTCGCTCCGGCGTCGAGTTTAAGTACCTGGGTCAGTAGGCCCAGGCTCCTCCCCGCGCTGTCCTGCTGCCGCTCCCCGACTGGCTGCACTCGCTCCGGCGTCGAGTTTAAGTACCTGGGTCAGTAGGCCCAGGCTCCTCCCCGCGCTGTCCTGCTGCCGCTCCCCGACATCGCAGTGAATCTAAGCTGCAACTTTTCCATCACTTTTATATCCTTCTTACAGTGGGGATCCCAATACTATCCACATTACTCCCCGCTGTGACCTAACCAAGCTCTTGTACAAGCTCAGTGTTACCTGTTTGCTTTTATGTTGTGTTCTGGTTCACATTACACCATGTGTGTCCTCACAGGGCTCAGTGAGAATGGCTGGACGATGGAGACCCCCGATACAGTGACCGGCAGGTTAGGGTCACCGGTCACCGTGTACTGCAAGTTCACTCCCCCTCACCCCAGATACACAGGGAACATCACCATCATGTGGAAGGGAGACTGGACTGGTCCTGCGCATTTTAATTATACAAATTATGGGCCGGATTCACAGGGAAAGTATCAAAATGTTATTGATGTAAACGAGGGAGAGCGATATCGAGTGATTGGGAACCCGAGAAGGAACGACGCCACAATAGAGATAAACCAACTGAGGAGAGAGGACAATAATAAGCTGTTGTCCTGTTGTGTGGAGCTCCAGGGTGAGGACGGAAAGTTTGAAACTGGGCCCAGAACACGTCTGATTGTTACAGGTGAGGAACGATGGGAAGTCCCCTGAGCACCTGGAGGCTGAGGCGGCCTCACTGTGGGGTTGTCTATTTGCCGAGGCCCCTCACATGAGGACCAGCAGCTGGTGATCAGTAAGCCTGGGACGTGGCAATGGATCTCGAGAACATCAAGGTGGCTGGCAGGTCAGAAACTGCCCTGTAAGATTCTCCCACCACAAAAAAGCCGGTGTAAAGCAGGGACTGGCTCCACAGTGACATACCAGGCCACAGGACGTCGGGCAGGAGTCAACCCTCTGTGGGGGTCTCTAGTCTGGTTCCTGAGCCAGGCGGTCGCAGTACTCCAGGGCACTGCTGATTTGGCATCAGCCTCATTGGCAGACCAGTCACTGGGCGCGACCATTCCCACTCAGCTCAATAACACCACAGATCTACACAAGCAGCAGGAAGCTTGCCACACAGTGCCGTCACTGGCCAACTGTGCTGTGGAGTCCTGTAGTGTAGTGGTTAGAGCACTCGCCTCACAAGCGAGAGGACTTGGGTTTGATTCCTGGGCAGGAAGAAACCTTGAGCAAGTTTCCTTGCTATATACGCCTCTGTTTACCTCGCAGTAAGTAGGAAGCCGGTAGTTTAGTCGATTGGTGGATCACCTCTGGGGGCAAAATCTCTCCAAAAATAATTTTTTAAAAATTTGCTCTCTCAATCCATGACGGTTGTTGGATCGCTGCTGGCACAATTGACTGGTGTATTTCTCCCACAAGTTATACAGTCAATTCACTGGACAGTATATTTGGTGAAGCGCTTTGAGATGTCTCAATAGCGAGATATCAAATCCAGGTATTATTATGATTATTATTATGCTGCTTTTGCTGGTTGAACTCCAAATTGCCCCAAACATAATACTCTCTGAATTACATACTCAGAGTGGATATATATGTGGAAGTCTCTCTCTGGTTTAGATACTCTTAACAATGGTGACAGATATCTGTATGTATCAGGAAACCGACTGCCCCAAAACATGAGGAGGGATTTTCTTTACACCACCAAACCTCCATCTGAATTAGGTTGTTCAACAACAACAATAACGTGCATTTATACAGCACTCCTCATGCAGGGCAGAATCCTGGAGCTTCATACCATTGGGGGTCCTCATCTGAGTAAATTCGCTGCAAAACAGTCACTACACTTGCCAGTAATTATTTTATTGGACCTAAAAAAATCCCAGGTTTTGTGTGTGAGACCTTGTGCTGCCCACAGGCTCATAGAGGGTGAGTGAGGAGCACAGGCCTGAGGGAGATGGTGCCATGAAGACCAGGTAACATATCCAGGATTTCACAGTGTGTAACATGTACTCTGTCACACTGACTGCTCTGCACTATTCCAATCCTGTTCCTGTCTCAGGTCATGAAGAGAAGCTCCGGTCAGTGACTGGTACCAAGGGAGGTGATGCCACACTGCCCTGCTCCTTCACCATCCCCAACACATACCAGATTCGTGCCACAGCCACAGTGCTTTGGAGGAGAGGGAGGCCACATGGGCAGCTGGTGTTTAATTACACTCTTGGCCTCACCGCCCACACCAACTCCAGGGAGTCAGAGACAGTGAATGAAGGAAATCGCTACAAGCTGGTCAGGAATGTGGGAGATGGAGACGCTTCCCTGAAGATCAGGGGCCTGGAGTTAAACGACACCGGACGGTATTTCTGTCACGTACACGTCATGTTTATAAAGGAAACGTACCAACAGGACCAGGTGACACAGAACATGTCACGGCTGCAGGTTGTTGGTAAGAGATCTCTTGTCTCTGTGGGACATGGAAAGGGGTGAATGAACAGGTCATCAGTGACGCAATGTTACAGACGAGGTTTGTCTCATTCCTTACCCTGTTCCTCATGTGTTAATTAGCACAAGGAACATGGTTTCAAAAGGAGGAGACTTTAGTTTGTTACTGGGGACAGGGTTTCTTCCCACCTGTCTCCTGTTAACCCTACAAGCTAAAGCCCAGGGTGATCCTCGCTGGACAAGCAGCGGGAAGCTTCCCAACGATAAATAATGTGTTTTTCATAAGTCCAGGATTGGTCTGAATGAAGAAGGTCCATCTGGTCTTATCCTTACAGAACACCACCCCCCCCTCCCCCAATCACAGTATCAACTGCTTTTTAAATGAGTCCCAGTGTCCTGGCCTCAGCCACCCTTCCTGGCCACCTGTTCCAATCCCTGATTACCCTCCGAGTAAAGCAAATCTTAAACACATGACCAGGTCCATCAGTGTCGGAACAAGACAGACTGGTTACCATCCCAGACACTGCACTGCCATCAGAACAGCAATATTTAGTTTCCCAACAGCACACGGTGTAGAAGTTACTGATTTTCTTCACGGATTTGATAAGAAATACGTCATTGCTCTCAGATACGTAACGAGGGCACAGGGTCAGGGTTGTGATGGGCAAAATAAGAACAGATACCCGGAAGTATTTCTTTGTCCAGAAGGTAATTAATGACAGGAAGTTACCAGGAAGGGTGGTTGAGGCCGGACACTGGGGCTTATTACAGAAAGAGGTCGATGCTGTAACATCGACAGTGGGGTTGGGGGGGAATTGGGAACTTTGAGGTCAAATGGGCTGAAGCATTTTCTTCACACAAAACTCTCTTGAGATTTTATCAATTACATTGATACAATTGATACAAAATACATTTGCATCGCGTCTTTCCCAACAAAAAGACGTCCTGAGGCCCTGAGACTCGAATAGACTCGAATATTAAAAAAATATTTTGTAAAGTGGTTGTAGCGGAACACTATGAACAACATGTACAAGAAAAGAGAAGGGATTAGAGTAGAGAGCTCCAGTGGGGGAGTGAGCACCAGCACAGACAAGATGAGGAGAGAGCAGGTAATGGGGTTAGAGTAGAGAGCTCCAGTGGGGGAGTGAGCACCAGCACAGACACGATGGGGAGAGAGCAGGGAATGTGGTTAGAGTAGAGAGCTCCAGTGGGGAGTGAGCACCAGCACAGACACGATGGGGAGAGAGCAGTGAATGGGGTTAGAGTAGAGAGCTCCAATGGGGGAGTGAGCACCAGCACAGACACGATGGGGACAGTTGTTTGGTTTGAATATCTCTGTGTTTCTTTATACCTGAAGCTCCGGCCGTCATCCTGAGTCTGTCCCTCGTGGCCGGAGGTGACATTGTGTGCTCGGCTGAGGGGGAACCACCGGCCAACATCACATGGATCGACCCCGAGCATAACACGCTGCCCATTAACACCAACCACACGCCAGTCACACATGTACCGGACAAGCATCTAACCGTGGGGGAGATCCGGGGCCCGAGGCTGAGGGGAACTTACCGCTGTGTAGCTGAGAACACACAGGGCAGAGACGCCCGAGACATCCTCGCACCTGGACCACAGAGTGATGGCAGCTTCATCACTGTGATGCTGTGGCTGATGCCAGCAGCTAAATGTCTCTTTCTGTTGGTGATCGGGATCGTTCTCCTCTGTAAAACACAAGGTTTGTCAATCCTTTGCTGTTTGTATCTTAAATACAAAACCACTGAACACCACTCCAGTGGTTATAATACATAACACAACACAATACACAGTCACTATTTTACAGTAAAATCTCCTGAAACACTTTGAGATATCTTGAAATCATGATAAGGCGTTGTATCAAATGCAAGAATTATTATTATTCCAAAACAAGCACAGTCACTACACTTCACAGTAACAAACATCCTGTGAAGAGTATTCAGATGTTTAACCATGTGATGATGCGCTGCATCCAATGGAAGTATTATTATAACTAATGTGCTTTGTCAGATGTAGTGACTGTGTTTCTGTCAGCAAACGCTGCAGCCAGTCAGTGCGCAGCAAAGTCCCCCACACCCAGCAGTGATGTGGGCGACCAATTCATCTGGAGGATTGCTGGCCAGGACCCTCGGAGAAATCCCACCTTGAGACCTACATAAATATGGGGAAGGTCTCGTCTCCTCATAGCCCACTCCTCTGGCTGCCCCTTTTGCTTGGCATCCAACCTTGCCACGATAAAGAGCTCTGAGACGCTGTCCTGTGTCCTGTGTGAATACAAGTTGTTGTTGGATTTACCCCTAGTCTGGACCATCCGATATTTGAGGGCAAAACATCTCAAGGGCTGAGATGAGGTGGAATTTTGCGATTCTGTTGAGCCTTTGAGAACATGGGAACCCGTGACTCCCAATAACAGTGTTTGTTTGGCTGAAACATGATCTCATTCTTTTTCTTCACTCATAGATTCAAGGCGTCTCCATCCTGAGGCCAAGAAAAGAAGGAGCTCTGTATAGTTCCCGCTCTCTCACCTGTGCCTGTCTCCAGTGGCCATGAAAGTGTCTCGTACAAGATCACAAGAGCTTGAAGTCAGGCAGAGCTTCTGATGATCGAGACCTTTTGGCCTATAAGTTCTCATCCTTGCAGTAAACGCCAGCCTGCAGTCCTCCCATTATAGCATTGAGCTGCTTCGACGACGTTCACAGTCACCTCCTCTGTCCCCCCGGCTTGGCATCAGGCTACGCCACTGTGAAGCATTCTGCTTCTGACGCTGCCCCATGTGAAGGGCGCTGCATAAATGCACGTTGTTGCTGTTAGGTTGAAGGTTATGACCTCCAGCAGCCACTCATGTCAAAGCCTTCCATGTTCTAAATAGCTGTGTTTGAAAAGATGACTTCTTACCTCTGTTCCAATCGCTGCAGTGAGAATCCTGATCTCACCGTTCTTCTCACCACTGTGAAACGCTCAGTGTATTCAGGGGTTGTGTTCATCCCGTGCCTTCAACTTCACACATCTCATCAACTCCTCGCGGCTTCCTGGAATCTCATCCTTTCCAATGGGTTTGGACTGGATGATTAGCAGGCGGTTGGAACCTCCACTGCTCGGAGAAACCTCCAACCTTGAAGAACATCGTTGATTCCAAGACATTGAATGGGACTCTCTCATGAACTCCTTTTGCTACTAAACCTGTGCTCCTTAGTAAATATTCTGTTTTCCAAATGACTGAATAAAATACTTGTGAAGGTATCACTCAGTCGTGTGGGTTAGTGTGTCTGCAGGCGGGTGAATCTGTGAGACAATAATCGAGTCCTGTAGCTTAGTGGTCCTGTAGCTTTGAGCTCTGGCCTCGCAAGTGAGAGGATCTGGGTTCAATTCCCGGACAGGGTGAAATGATCGGTAGTTTCCTGACTTCACACGCCTCTGTTTAAGTTGATCGCTTTTCCGGAAGGTAATAATCCCTTAAAAAAAGTTGTTCACTCAATCCACGACTGGCACTGATGTGTTTAATTCGCTGCCGCATTTTGCCGACAACATATAGAGGCAATGCACCTGACAGTATATTCTGTGAAGCGATTTCAGACGTCTCAAAGACGTGATAATGCGCTATATCCAGGGAAGGATTATTACAATACAAAATGACAATACAACATTAGATTGTATAGCGCTGTACGTTTCCTCCACGTGCCTTTGTTTACCTATCAGACAGTGGGAAATAAACAGGTTAGTCGATCGCTTTCAGTGTAATACTCTTCAAAGAAATTGTTTTTAAAGTAATTTGGTCACTTTGTTTGTGGGACACTGCTGTATGCAATTAGCAGCTACATTTCTCCTTAAAAATACACAGTCAATGCATTTTACAGTATACTCTGTGAAGCGCTATGAGACGTCTCAAAGATGTGACAACGCATTGTATCAATTGCAAGATTTATTACAAAGAAAATGACAATACAACTTTAGATTTGTATAGCGCCGTTCACATTGGGAGGATATCCCAAGAGGTTGGACAGTCAGGCATTTAGATCCGTGCAGGAGAGTTGTTGGGATCAGGGATGGCGGAGGGCAAGGAGGGTCGGAGTGACAAACTGACAAATGACGCTCTGTCTATCTGGGACCAGGGCTCCCTCTGTCTACTCGTCCTCCTTGACCTCTCTGCTGCCTTCGACACCATCGACCATTCTATCCTCATCCACTGCCTCTCCTCTCACCTCAACGTTCATGGCTCTGTCCTTGACTGGTTCAGATCGTACCTCTCACACCGCCTCCACTTCATCTCCACAAACGGCTTCTCCTCTGGGATCCCCACCGTCTCGTGCAGTGTTTCTCAGGGCTCTGTCCTTGGTTCCCTCCTCTTCAATATCTATATGCCCCCTCTCGGTGACATCATCCGCAGACATGGGGTCAACTTCCACACGTATGCAGATGACACCCAACTGAACCTCTCTGCCTCCACCCTGAACTCCAGGACCACTGCTGTCCTGACAGAATGTCTGTCAGACATCAAGTCCTGGATGAGAGCGAACTTCCTTCAGTTGAACGTCAACAAGACCGAGGCTCTCCCGATTGGCTCCCGTCAGCACCTCCTCACCTCAGGCGCTGACAGCACCACCATCCATGGTTGCACACTCCACCTCACTGAGCAGCACGGAACCTTGGGGTCTTGTTTGAGCCAAACTTTCCTTTCTACCCCACATATGCATCACGACCCGCTCTGGCTTCCCACCTCTGCAACATCGCCCGGCTCCGCCACTGTCTCACCCCGCAGGCCGCTTTCATTACATCGTGGCTTGGCTTTGCAAACCCATTGCTTCTCGGCCTCCCCAACTCCTCCCTCCATAAGCCGCAGATCATCCAGAACTCTGCAGCCTGTATCCTCTCCCGCACTAATCTCCATGATCTTATCCTCGCCTAACACCACTGGCTTCCCATCACCCAGAGGATACAGTTCAAGACCCCGGTCCTCACATTCAAAACCCTCCATGGTCTTGCTCCCCCCACCTCTGTGACTTTCTAACCACCTACCATCCTGCTCACTCCCTCTGTTCAGTGGGCTCTGCCCTGCATCATGTTCCCCGCCTCACTTGCGCTACTATTGGCAGGCGGGACATCTTCCACTCTGACCCCATCCACTGGAACTCCATCCCGCAGTCCCTCCGCATCGCCCCCTCCCTTGCCAACTTCAAGACCCAACTCAAGACCCCCCCCTTCGACATTTCTTTTGATCTCCCTGCTTCCCCCACTGCCCTCCACACTCCCCGACCCCAACCCCCAGTTCGGGTCCGTAACTCTGTCTGTCCAGCAATTTGGGACGTCCTCACGACGTGAAAGGTGCTTTACAAATGTAATTTTGTTGTTGTGCTGTTGCTGTAGGAGAGTTCCCGAAGGCAATGTCGAAGCAGCGGATCTTGAGACGTACCTGGAAAGAGGCGAGGGTGGGAGCGCAGTGGAGGGACTGTTGGGTAGAGTTCCAAAGGGTGGGGACGGAGAGGCTGAATGCCCACTCCTGATGGTGGGCAGGAGGGCAGACCTGGTGTGGGCCGAAGCCTGCTGTGTGGAGGGAGTGCGCAAATTGATATGGGGTTAGCAGGTCACAGAGGTAGGAAAGAGCGAGGCCGTGGGGGCCCTGAAGGCAAAGATGAGGATTTTGAACTCTATCCTCTGCGGGAAGTGGAGCCAGTGACGCCGGGCGAGGGTGGGGGTGACAGGGTCACAGCGCCAGGTGCAGGAGAGGACATGAGCTGCAGAGCTCTCAAGGCCTCCACCATGTACAGACATACAGAGAGACACTCACACACACACAGTGAGAGACCAACACAGAGAGAGACTAACATACACTCACGTCATAGCGAGAGACATATTCACTCACAGACACAAAGAGAGCGAAAGACACACACAGTCACTCACACAGAGAGTGACGCAAACACAGACACAGAGAGAGACACACACACAGACACATAGAGAAAGATGAACACATTCATTCACACACACAGAGACACAATCATAGACACACAGAGAGCTGCCGTATAGAGCCCCAGTAAAGAGCGATCACCAGCACAGACAGCAGAGGGGGGGAAGGCTTCTGTGCTGTAAACCAACAAATCACATGGACAGCGGCTCCACTTCTCTGACCTTAACATAACGCAGGAAGTCAGTTTGGCTCAGTCAGTCACACTCTCACCTCTGGGTCTAAAGCCTGGGTTCGTGCCCATGTCGGGATTGTGCTCAGAGTCCAGGCTGATGCTCCAGCCCAGGGGGAGCTGTACATCCTCAGAGTTGCCGTCCTTCAGACGAGACGTTAAACCAAGAACCTGTTTAACTGACATTAAAGATCCTTCGACACTGATGGAAAAGAGAAGCGAGTTCCTCCCGGCTTCCTGCGCGACGATCAACCAGATTAATGGTTCACAAAAACAGTTAACACAGTTGGAAACAAAGAGGTTTGTCTGTTTCAAGAACAAATTAGACTTCTGCTAGAAAAATAATATCTTGGGCTACACTGGGACATGACACGTCAAGCGACTGCCAGGATGGTGGAAGGCAAACAAGATGGACCTTTGTCTTCATCAGCAAATTCTTGTGTTCCCATGTAAACGCTGCGAATATAAAAAGGGTGTGAAATGTAATAGAGGATTAAAAGTCACCCAGTTACTGTGACAGGGGGTGAGGGCGGGTTAGTGTTGGGGAGAAACATGACGGAGCATCAGAACAAAGCGGATGTGTGGGGTGGAGCTCTGGTGGTGACCACAGAACGAGAGGAGGAAGGAAAGAGAAGGGTGACCAGCTGTGCCAGTGCGAGGCAGACGTGTGCGGGGAAGGAGTGTGTCCTGAGTGAGGGACGATGATGCTGGGAGCTGTGCTCTGTACCCTGGTCCTGTCAGCCTCTGCCTCCCGTACGTACTTTCCAATCAGAAACCTGACTGGCTTTAATTACTGCCGAAGCCTGCTGTGCTGAGGGATTGGGCAAGTTGATATGGGGTTAGTAGTCACAGACGTAGGAAGGAGTGAGGCCGTGGAGGGCCCTGAAGGCAAGGACGAGGATTTTGAACTCTATCTTCTGGGGCATGTAGAGCCAGTGAAGCCGGGTGAGCATTGGGGTGATAGGATCACAGCGCCAGGTACAGGAAGGGACACGAACTACGGAATTCTGGATGATCAGCAGTTTGTGGAGTGAAAAGTTGGGGAGGCCATCAAGCAGGGAGTTGGCATAGTAAAGCCTAGATGAAATAAATGGATGATGAAGATTTCGGCGACCTGAAGGGATGAGACAGTGGCGGAGTGGGGATGTTGAGGAGATGCGGAGAGCAGAGTGTGTCATGTCTCGGATGTGGGGCAGAGAGTACAGATGAGGGTCAAACAAAATGCCAAGGTTCCAGACTGTCTCAGTGAGGTGGAGTGTATATTCTTGGATGAAGATGCTGTCAGTGCCTGAGGTGTGGAGTCGCTGACGGGAGCCAATCAGGTGGGCCTCAGTCTCGTTGACGTTCAACTGTAGTTAGCTCTCATCCAAGACTTGATGTTGAGGGGATGGAGGGACTGGACAACGAGGAGCGATTAGATAAACTGGGCATGTTCACACGGGAGGAGAGAAGGTTGAGGGCGATATGATTACTGTTCTTTAAGATTCTGAAGGAAATAGATAATGTAGATCATGACAAGCTGTTTTATTTTGTACTGCACAATGGAAACAGTGGACTAAGACTGAAGGGGGTAAATTCAGAACAATTCTGTGGAAACACTATTTAAG